GCCTTAGGATCTCATCACATGGAGGTCCTTGATGTGAGGGACAGTGGGGGAATCAATGGACAGTGGGGCAAATTGTGGGGCAGCGGGCTGAATCCACCACCCCACGTTACCCACATCACCCACTTGCCCATCACATGCCAGAAAGCGTACCTTTCCAGTATGCTCCCACGCTGTCCCCATTATTTCCAATCTGAAAACAGGTAGTCTCCTGTGTTCATAATTCCACATTGTAGAATACTTCACCACTCAGCCATCATGGAGCCCCACCGGAAGTAGCTGTGCATTATGTGATGAGATCCAGTGGGCTTTGTGCTGGCTGCTTTGGTGAAGTGTTGTAGGATGAAGGATTTGCCAACTGTGATTAGGTCTTTGGTTGCACTAAATGGTATACTGCATTGCATTTCATGTTGGAGCTATTTTTGAAGAGTCTTTGGAAAGAACAGTTGATGTAGAATGCTGCAATGTGAATGCTGCTGTGTATGTTTGCCCTAGATTTTATATTACATTTGTTCTGTAGAGACTACAGTCTAATTTCCCCCTCATTAACAATTAAAAATACTGGTAATGGCACTCAATGCTTAGGTCTTGGATATTTTAGTAACTTCTACACCTTTCTATGGTAGCTAGCTGTTCCCTAAGATTTCACAGGTCGTTCTCTGTGTCCCAACTATGGTTTCAACATCTGATGGAAACCAAAGAAACCAATTTATCAGTGATCACCAAACCAAAACTCTGGAATGCCTTGCTTTAACAAACAAAGATAGCAATCTTGCTCTTGCCATTTCACCATGTGGCAATAATCTTTCTGTTCAGACAGTTATTCACTGGATTAGCTTTATCAATTGTTATACATGCATTATTCATCTGTTTCTTTTATAATATGTCATTGTATTGTATTTTACTGTTATTTATATCTGTTGGTGGTGTTTCAGGATACATGGGCTAACTGGGGATTCAGTATTTCTTTGAATAAAATAAATAAACATCTGTAAGGTAACAGAATTTAAGGAGTAAAAATGAAGGGGAATTAAGTTGAGTAACTCTGTTGTTTTTGTATATACCACTGGGTATGCATGGATGGATAGAGTCACACCACAAGGTTAACAGCAATTCTCCATTCCTCTTAGAGAAAGCATACGTTCACCTGGTACCAATATTCCTCTGTACAGCAATCTGCTAGATGATATGACAGTGCAGATGTAACATCATTTGATTCTTGACAGCTCATTTTCCCACTCTTGCTGTAATTCTTTTTCACACGTGCCATTCTCCCTACCAACTACAAAGTTGCTGAAATTGGTTTTCCATTATACTCTTTTTGGCTGTCATTGTAAGTATCAGAACTGCTAATTAGGTATCTGTGTGTTGATTCTGTGATCACTTTCACAACCTCAAGTTTCAGATAATAGCTGCAAGATAGGCCAGAATTATGAGTGTTTTTTTAAAAGGGTAAAATGAGTATAATGGAGTGTATAGCAGGCTATAGTTTTTAATCTATATATAAATTTGTTTTGTTTGAGTTATCATAAATCATAGTAACTATGTGTTATATCATTGCCCTGTTGTCTGTTGTTTACTGTCCCAAAATTAGCTTGACTCATTGTATTAGCTAGCTTGATTGTCTGTAGTAGGTTTGAATCATCATGACCAATAAAATGAAACATATATTTTCAATATTATGTAAGAAAATAGAAAATATTAGAATCAGTGATGTTATTAAAATCAACATTCTTTGATGTGGGACATCAACCTCAGCAACTCCTAATACTTGCCTTGAATTCAAAGATTGGGCTTTTGGCACTTCAGTTCACTTTCAGAATGGTTTTTATTGGAAGTCAGAGAAGAACTCCCTACCATCCATCCACTTGTTTCTCTGGCTGCTGCTATTTGAAGAATTATAGTAGGGAATTATGTCTCCTTTAGCCATGCCCTGGTATGAGGTTGTTGTACTTCAGGCATATCATGGATCCTGCTCTATGGGGTAATTATTAACCTGCCTCTAATACTCTATTGTTGAGTGAGGTTCTATGGTGTATGGTGGCCTCCCAATTCCATTGATTCCTGAATGAGGTAGAATGCCTGGACACATTTCATTCTGACTTCAGGCCTGGTTTTGAGGCAGGGAGTGCTTTGGTTGATTTGATTGTTGCCCTCTGTATACAATGTTCTAGATAAAAAACAGCAGATGCCAGGGGGCTATTATTATTGCTTTTCTCTTTTTGTGGGAAGACCCCTGACTTATACAAAGGGCATATCAAAATCTACAATTTTGGCCCCAACACTTGCTGTCAACTTACTCAGTAGGTCAACCTATACACAAGTATATATTTGTATCATCTGCTTAGGAGCTAGCAGCCTCTGTGCTTTAACTTGATACTGACAGCAACAAAGCTGTACTATAAGAAAAATATAACATATTTTAATGAAAATATATTTGGCTTTTTTCATTGGGCAAATGCTTAACAATATACTATAAAGCAAAAAAAATCACTGAGAGATTTATGTTCTTATCTTAGCCTAGTGTGTTATATACATAAATGGCAGAACATCTGACATCAGCTGAAGGCAACAGCTTTTTCAGAGATTCTGAGTTCGGTCAGTCTTTCCCTCTGGAAGCAGAAAATAGAATTTTGTTAGCAAAATTGGGAATCATGGTTTATTTCAAAACTAATTTCCAGTGCTGGCATAGTGGAAATTTTGAGTAAGTGTAGAACAATAAATTGCCATTCCAGTATGAAAGCAATTTACTGATGATGTATAAATATAATGAAATTTAGCTGCTGTAAGTCCCATCAGCTTTCTTGAGTTCAATTTTTTGAGACAAAACCAAGATGCAAGTCAAATGATGAAATATTGAAATATTTCAAGCCTACTTAGTACTTTATTGCATGAAGCTGCTCTTCCACATTGGTTGTGTGATCCTTGATATTGGATACATACTGGCATGAGCACCTTCATTGTCACACCTCGCTTCCTCTGCACAATTGATTCATTCTATGGTCTCGCAACTATACTTCTACATATCCTCATAAATGTACCCTCCTGCACTTGCATTCTTTTATAACTTTTGTCATTATTTTTAAAGCATTTTCATGGTTCCATTAATAGTTGTATAAAAAAGCCAAAATACTACTGTAAAGGAAAAAAAGAACTCAGGAATAGTGAGGGAAATGAGGGACAGGAGGAAAGGAGAATCCAATCTCTTGATGTCAATTCAGTTCTGGCATGCCAGCACAGAAGCAGAAGAAACCCATTACACAAGATACATGATCGGAATGTTGGAGGATTGGCAACTATTGATGGCTATTGGTGGGAAAGGGTTAATTATAGGAAAAAAGCAAATCAACAGTGGAATGGAAATGGCATCATGTGATAGGGACCATCACTAAAGGTGCAGCTTTGCTCCTCTTATGTGTTAAAAAAGTCATATATTTCAGTGTGAATAACTTTCCATTTGCTGATATCAAATCAATACTGTTCTTTCTTAGGACTGCTTCACCAAATATTTCGTTATGATAACTGGATTTTTCTGTTGCTTGAAATTATAAAGTTTTATTATTTGGAGAGAATACCCTTCTATGTAGTGTATAGCCATCACTTAACTAAAGTCAACACCAACATGCATTTAAAATATTAACAATTGATTATTTGCATTCAAAAATTTCTATAAATAATGTGGCAAGAAATTGTAGAGTGCTGATTACTGGGAATAAACATCAATTGCTTTGATTTACATGTTCCAGTAGAGTATAAGTTATTTCAAGTTATGAACATTTTTCAGTTCAAACTTCTTAGTTCAGCCCCTTTTTAAAACTTTGGATTCTCTTAAGCTGGGAGAAAATAATCTGTATTTTATTCCAAGTATGTTCAGTAGGATTTTATTAGTATGTATAGTGATTTTTGGCATGCAGAGGAGAGAGATTAAAATGCAGAGAAACCTGAAAAAATGTCATCTTCTATTTCAAAGTATACTTTGAAGAGCATTCATCAGTTCTTACATTAGAGCAGTCCTTTGATCACATTTCAACCTCTAGTGAATTCCTTTCCTTGAATGTGACATTGAAATGCAACAGAATTTTTTTCTTTCTTGTTTCTTTTTCATTAGATCAGGAGCGTATCGTGCATGAGCCCGATACATGTACATTTCATCATTCCAGTAAAGACTCTGTTTTCTGGCTTCCACTCAAGGAAAAAATAGGTACACAGCAACATTGTTTATCTATTTTTCTACATGATTTGTTGTGCAGTTGTTGGAATGTATGTCTGTATAGCTTGTTCCTATGCAACAACAATAATTTATCACATGTTTAACTTTTAAATAACGGAGATTATAACCAGGATATAAGACTTAGACTAAAGTTGCAGCAGATATGGTCAGCTTCTATTGGTTAAAGGGCAGTTTGATCTGTTAGAATATTGCACCCTGGGCACAGTCCACCAAATTTTCTGCAATAATGAGATGGTACAGCAATAGAAAGTTGATGTAACATAGATTGCTACTTCCTGGAGGCTTCTGAGTGAATGAATGAATTTTTAAAAAAAGGTGTGACTCTCAGTGCATACTATTTCAAAGTAAAGTGCTTTGGCATGCGTGTTTCTCACTACCAAATTTCAATAGAAAATGTAATAGTTTGTGAAAGGAATGGATTGGAATTTATGCTGTTCACTGCCTAGGCTTTGAGGGAGCCATTTCCTCAATTCCACCATTCTTCAAAATCCTAGCTTGTGGGAAAATGGCCTAGCCTCCTTGCTGGAGGAGGCTAGGCCAGCAATTTCCTTGACATCCTTCCACTAACAGACAAAAACCTCTTTATTTGGGTCCTAATGAGCTGCTGTTCCCCCCCCCCCCCCCCCACACACACACACTTACTAATGCATTTTAATTGCTTTTAGAGTTCTCTTAATCTGTTCAATGAATTAATATCTCTCTAATTAGAAGTTTAACTCCTGTGTCTTTTCTAAAGTTTTCATGAATTGGCTGCAGATGCTTTCCCAATAAGCCAGCTCATGTGAGCTATGTAGTTAACATTATGATCTATCTACCCTCAAATATCTTGCCAGGGTCTTTTATTCAGACAGATTCTAAACTTAGTAGCAATATACACCCACCATGTATGCACAATTTTTTGCAGAGACATTGTGCTGCCCAGGTAAATCACAGCCTGTCAGCCATTCCCATGTATACCTCAAATTTCAGTAGTTAGCACTTCTGGAAATCTGGCAGCTGATGTGAAAGAAAAGCAGGGTATAAATAAACATAACATGATGATGATGATGATGATGATGATGATGATGATGATGATCCCTGCAATACATTAGCTTGATGGAGTGAGGAGTAGTAGGTTGAGGATGAGTGTGGGAGTATTGAATCCACGGGCAATCTGCCATTGGCTCAACACAAAGCTATGTCAGTTGATTAGGTGCCAGCAAGCAGTACTGTATGCACAGATTTCCCAGAGGTGGTGCCAAAGCTCTTGTTAGTGCTTCCATCTTGCTCTAGGATTCCCATATTTAAGGGAAAGCATTTGTGGCAGGGCAGATCCCCATTTCATATTTCTTACAAGTTCCCCTATAGTGAAGTGGGCAACTTGTGGTAATCCAGATGAAGTTGGTCTGTAATTGCCACCAGCCCATCAGTATAGCTTGTCATCAGGGATGGTGAAAATTGCAATCTAGATATATCAGAAGAGCCTCAAAGTTGCCAACTCCTGTTATATATTTGTAGCTTGCAGAAAATCTGAGAAATCCCAATGTACTATAATGATGTTTTATGTGTCCTGCCACTTTGATTATATTGTTTATCTACTTCATAACTTCTCTACATAATCTAGTAAAATAATAACTCTGGTTTTTGACAAATGGAGTCATTTAAATTGTTTGCTGTAGCGAAAGATTAATTTAATTAAAATGAATATACCTATCCTATTTCAGCACTGTAATTCTTTTCATTTTGATATTCTGTCATATTTACTGGAATTAACAAACTGTTCTAAACATTGTTAATGGACAGATAATAAATCATTCCCAACACACTATTTTTGTTTTTATCAAAGGGAATTTAGTTTTTCCAGTTTCATATTTGGAACAGCAGTATTTGGATTAGAATAACTTGACCTGTTGAACCCATGTAAATTTAGAAGGAATATTTGTTATTGCCACTACACTTCAATTTGTATTTAGTGATTAGTTCACTTTAATAGTTATTTCCCCCCCCCCATGCCAATGCAGAGGGAATATGACTCAGTCGTATAAATATACTAAATAATATAGATTTAATGTAACATGACATGGTACTTTAAGTTGCTGTTGGTTCAATTTTATCTGATTTCTCTAAAGCAACAAATCATTGAAAATATGCTATGTGTGACCATTACAACTAAAACACAAATACTGTACCATTATGCTGCTCTATCATTGTAAAGAAAATAAAGTGAATGAGTTATATTTACCATATATACTCATGTATATGTTGAGTGCAGGTTTTTTTGGGGGGTGGGGGGTGGGGGGGAATACAAGGAATGATCAGGGATTATGTTCAATAGATATGATATTTGGAATGGCCTAGTCTGCCATTGTTGAATTGTGCGATTTTAATGTTTTTAATTCCATGTTTTAATGTTAAATGATGTCATGTTTTATGATTTAATTGATAATTGTATGTTTTTGTCATTATGTTAGGTTTCTGTAAGTGAGGCATTAAATTTTGCCATAATTATATTGAAAACCGCGTTGAATTCCCTGCTGGGGGGAGAAAAACAGTATACAAGTGAAGTAAATACATAAAATTATGAATTTCGACCTATGGATAACTTGAGGATCACTCCATGGAGAGGGGAAACTGCCAGTGTTGCCTCAGGGGACCAGCTGCCCCCTTTCCACCACTACAATTTTCCCACCCAGGCATTCAAAAAGGCCATAAGTGGTGCCATGCAAACCTGTAGCTGGGGGAGGGGGGGGTCATACCACCTCTGAAAATTTTCAGGTTAAAAAATGCTGGATGGCTCATGAAATTTAACTGATTAACCAAAATCCCATACTAAGTCTATGAGAAGCAAAAATTAAGAGTCCCTCCAGAATTGCTGTTCTGAGATTTAAAGCCCTATTAGTTCCTGTTAGTGTTTATTTATTTATTTATTTATTTATTTATTTACGACATTTATATGCTGCCCTTCTCACCCCAAAGGGGACTCAGAGCGGCTTACAAGGTATATATACATACAACATATTATATTATTAGCATAGTACAATATCAGTTTTAAATATTGCTATATTGTACTATACCAATTATATTGTAATATTATTAGTAATATTACATGTAATATAAATATATAATTATAATATCATGTTATTATTACTATTATATTGCATTACATTATAATACTATAAATATTATATGTTTATACATTATATTATATTATATTATATTATATTATATTATATTATATTATATTATATTATAGTATATTATTAGAGTAGCACAGGAGACAAGGTGGAATTGTCTCCTGGCCTCCCCTCTCTTCGCTCTGGCCCAGAGCGGCAGTTGGTGCTGGGGGGAGGGGTCCTTTTATCCACCTGACTCCAGAAGATGCCCAAAGTTCTATCAAAGCAACTCAATGTTTTTGAGTTCCTGGCAAAAAAAAAGGAAAAGCCAAATATTGAAACTAAGAAGGCAGCAGGTTGAGAATGATTGCAGCAGCTGGTACTGATGAAGACTCCAGAGCATGCATGTACACCTGGACTGTAAGTGAAAACTGAGGACTCTAGAAGCTCAGATGTCTTCCACTGGTTCATCTAATCCAAGCCTTGCCAAAGAAACCATGGAACATGAGCAAGGCATGAAATTGTGCCCCTGTTAGACATTGAACTTTCTATGAACAAGACTGTTTCTGATGACCAAGTGAAAGCTCAATTAGTACAAAATGCAGACTCCATTGTCAGGATATGTATTTCCTGTGGATAAGAAGAAGCATTTAAGTTTTCAACATAAATAGTTCAGTGGATTTTCCTGGTTAGCCTACTCATTTCATCTACAAGGAGCACTCTGTAAGTACTGCATGGTGTTTAGAGAAGTTGGGGTAAAGGTGTTCGTCAGAAGCTTGGTGCTTTGGTTGCTAAACCAATTGTGCGATGGAAAAATGCAATAAAAGTATTCAATGGACACCAAAATCAAATTACCATCAGAACAACTTGTGCTTGGCTGAAAATTTACAGTGGAAAACATCCTGATGTAACCTCTCATTACAATAAAGGAAAGCAGAAGGAAACAGAAGGAAACTCCACCAATTGTGGAAACTATTGTCCTTTGTGCCCGACAAGAACTGGCTTTAAGAGGGAGCAATGATTCAAGACCTATTACCTGCCAGGAACCTTTGCACAATGATAGTAATTTCAGGGCCTTATTGAGATCTCATGCCAGATCAAGAAACACTTACCTGAAAAGTCATCTTGAAACTGCAGCTATGAATGCTCAATATACTAGTCCTCAAATACTGAATGAGCTAATAGACATTTGTAGTGACAAGATGGTCTAAAAATTATTGAAAGATGCAATGCATTTCTCTGATTTGGCAGATGAAACTTTGGATGTGAGTGCTAGACTTGTGCATTTCAGCTGAACCTTGATCCATTTCTGCTGGCCAAATTTTGGGAGTTCCCCGGATCAATTTTTATGTGTCTCCTGAAAATGGGCAGGTAGCCAAATAGTTGTTTTTGGTCCACAGCCAAAAAATGCAGCTACGTCTGACCTATTGTTGGCAATGGGGGGGGGGAGCTTCCTGGGCTACCCTTCCTGTCATTTTTAGGGCAGTCGGGATGAAAATGACCACACTTGGAAGACGCATCAACCACTGTTAGCCCACCAAGTTTCATAATGTTTGGGTCATCCCCTGATGTTTAGATATTTGATTTCTTTTTAGAACACAGAGAGAAATATAAATAGAGAGAATTTGTGTGCAAAGGAATTAAAGAAATAGGTAGATAACTAAGTAGTAGTTTTCTGAGAATGAGGTTTTTCTGTTTGTTTGCTGGGATTATTATTGATAATAATAATTGTTAATATTTGAAAAGTATTTTCTGAAGGAGAGGAGGAAAAAGCTGAATGGTGACTCAAGGCCCTCAGCACTACCCAAATATTTTTTAAAGAAAATCGCACCAAGAGCAAAGATATGCTCTTTCTTTCTCCCAAGTCCTCATACACAT